TCTTATTTTTCTTGAAGTATATTCAGGATAATGAAGGAAAACCCTTTATTTATAGGAAAAATCTTACTTGGTTCCTTAGTAGGATTCCTAACCATATCCTAGAAGGACTCCACATAATTAGACATTTACTATAATACAAATTGTTTATAACAATATTAATTATGAATATTTTAGATTGGGAGTAGGTGCGAAGGATGCGGCGGTAAAGGTGCAATAGAGTGTCCCGGATGCAAGGTACTTGTGAGAAAAAAGTTATCTTTTATCAAATGTTCATTTTAAATTAATATAATTTTTATTATTATGTGATTTAATAAAATAAAATAAATTATAAATTTAAATATATAATCTATATGTATTGAGTTGGTGCAAACACTAGTATGAATAACTTTATTTATTTCTATATACTCTAATTAATAGTTTAATACTAACATATTTAGATAATTAAACCTGGATCTGGTGAGTTAAAATAATATTGTTTTAATTAAAAAATACTTATTTTAGAAATTTGAGGTGTTTGATGAGAGTTTTTTTTATTGTTATTATTATTATTATTAAAAATGTATTTTTGAGTGTTTTTTTTAAAAATGAAACTAATTACGAATTTTGTGATTATTTTATTATTAAATTGCTTGTAACTGGCAGTTTTATTGACGATATGTTACTAAATAATATAAGCTTTATTTTTTTGTTATTTAATTACGAATTTATCTGTCGTTAATTACTATTTCATTTAATAGTGTGATAAATCATGTGCATTACATTGGTGAAATGATAGAAAAAAGAAAGGCAAACAATAAAAAAGCGGGGAAAAAATACTCTTCTAATTCAAGTCTTAATTAAAAGAGCTAAAAGAAGGCTTAAATCATTTAGTAATTATCATTGTTTGCTTCCATCTTGGTCCAGGGAACAGGAAAGAATAAGAAGAATGGGAACATATTTGAAAGATGGAAGTAAGTTTTTCCTTTCAAAAATATAGAAAAATAAATTACTGTATCAAATTTTGTTAAATTTAAAAACTTAATAAAACTTTGTAGGTGTTTTGATTGCCAAGGGTTTGGGTTGAAGAGTTGTCCAGTTTGTGGAAAAGAAGGACTTACTCCTGAACAACGAGGTGAAAGATAGTAGACACGTTGGATTCAATTCTTAATATCTCTTTCTGTTTTATATTTTCGATACGATATCCCAATGTTACACTGCAAGAAAAATAACTCTCCTTCAATATCCCTTATCTGCCAAATGTCACACATAGTGCAACTTCTATCTCATGAGATTAATTATTTAAATTAGATACCAAACAATTTTCACAATGGTTGTATGAGAAATTGATCAAACATAAACTATTTCACAATGGTTGTATGAGAAATTGATCAAACATAAACTATTGAGTAAGATTAAATATTTGAATACGTAATATCACAATCTTAAATACGATAATCTTATATAAAAATTGTTAGGAGCACATATATAATGAGGAAGACACTATCACAAAGAAAAGCGGAAGCATTAGTCATACATTGATTTCTATATCCTTGTCCTAACTTTATGTTGCCACAACCGTCAGCGATGAAATTAATGTAGAGAATATGTGATTAACCCTAATGGGTGGAGAAAGGACTAATTTATAGAGGTTATGATTTAATCTGGTACATCCATCAAGTAACCAATGTACGGACATATCTATTTCTTATTAAATACTATTTATGGTATTACTTGGGTTACAATTAAACCTGAGTCATAAGTAGGAAATAATTAATAATAATATTAATAATTTTTACATTTTGCCGCTTGGCCCAATAACCATATATCATTGATATTTAATAAGCATTAGTTGCGCATACAATTGATCTCTTCTGTAATGTCCATCATGCATACCACAATATAACAAACTACTAATGCAAGTTATGACAATTGTACATAAAGTTTAAGCTACATAATTCCTTCCATATACTACTACATTAGCAACTTATCATATTAGATTAATAAGCTATAAAAACATATAACATTACGGTCCACAATAATGTCTCATCTTGGAATTTCTCAAAACAATAATGTGTACACCATTATGAGAAACAAGATATTCATTAATGTATATCAGAAACACATAATTTAAACTCATAGTGTAAAACATTATAAATATCAATCATAAGTACAACCAAGACACATTCTTTGATCATGTTCATTACATGTCTTGGTCGTCAGCCTTTGGCTAACAAATTTGCAATCATGAGATCAGTTCTAATATTCTTAAGTAACACTCTTTGTTTATGAATTTCTTCCGTGACAGTAAAGTACTTTAATTTCATATGTTTGACACATTTGGAGTACTTGTCATTCTTAGAGAAGAATACTGCTATAACATTATCACTATAAATTTTCAGCGGCTTGGTAATAGTGTCGACAACCCCAAGTCCTGAAATAAAATTTCGCAGTCATAATGTATGAATTGTGGCTTCGTAACATGCCATAACTTTCTTTGCAATTTTATAGTGATCCATTCCAGGATTACTTTAACATCTTTTTAACATTCTAACCACAAAGCTAATATATGGTCTTATACAAGTTTGAACATACATCAAACTTTCAACAATAGAAATTTAAGAAATTGAGATCATTTTCTTTTCGTCCTACATCATTCTTTGGACATAATATGAGATTAAATTTGTTTCCGTTTTAATAGTAACTATTCTTGCTGAAAAATTGTTCACGTTAAATCTCTCTAGAACTTTTTGATATAGCCATTTTAAGACACTCCGAATAATTCCTGTGACCTATCATGAAATATTTCTATCCCTACTATCATGAAATTTCTATCCCTATCACATAAGATGTCTCACCCATATATTTCATTTCAAAGTTCATAAAGAGAAAATAATTTGTCTCATGTATTATGCCTATATCATTAGCAATAAGTTAAATGTCATCATCATACAGGACTAAAAATGTAAACTTATTCGCATTGATCTTTTGGTATATACATAGATCAACGGTAATTTTCTTAAATCCCAAAGATGTTATGGTATAATTAAAATTTATATACCATTTCTGTGAGGCTTGTTTGAGTTCATATGTTGACTTTTTTAGTTTACACACTATTTGATCTTTTCTTTTAATTTCGAAATCCTTTCGTTAGTCCATATAATCATCCTCATTCGAGGTCTACATTAAAAAAACAGTTTTCACATTCATTTGGTGTAACTCTATAATGAGCTAACAAAGACAAAATAATTCTTTATGAGTCTTTCTTTGAGACCGGTGAAAAGGTCTCTTCAAAATCAATGCCTCCTTTTTATTTTTTAAGTGTATCCCGTGGCAACAAGTTTGACTTTATATCATTCAATATTACCATTTGAATAAGGTTTGGTCTTAAAGACCCATCTACACTAGATTGTTTTAGAACTTTCTGGTAATTGAACGAGATTCCAGACTTTGTTGTATTATATGGATTTTAACTCTTCATTCACGACATCAATCTATTTATCAGACTCGTTTTTTCTCTGTTTTGTGAAAATGAAATCAAATCTTTATTAATTTCAATGTCAAAATCTGTCTCTTGCAATAAATCACATAATGACCAATTTTCTTTATGACATTGTTTGTGGTTCATTTGCGCTAGATACTTGTAAGTTAGTTCCTTCTTGAAGTGTTTCACCCAAATGTTGTTCAAAATTGTTAAAGTATTCTTCAACAAGAGGAACAACATTTGTAATTGGTGCTGAAGTAGGTACATTCATGGGCAATGAAATATTTACCCTTACCTCATTAATTTCCACACTTTGTCGTTGAACACTCCCACCAACTTCACCACTCCAAAGGAATTTTGCAAATGGACTTAGACATTGTTTTGATTCATTACAATTTTCAAAATATTCACCTCTATCTGACCTAATGATTTTCACTTTCTTATCTAATTGTCTTTCAACCTCTTTAACATACACTCTGAGCGTGTCCACTGCCTGAGATTTCTTTCAACAAATAGATAAATTCATAATGTGAAAAATCATCGATATAGGTGATAAAATATTTATCTCCACCTAAAGATGGAACATCAAAGGGTCCACAAATACCAGTGTATATAATTTCCAGAAGCTATGTGTTTATTGTGACACTTTTCTTGATATGATTGTTTGCTTTCCTTTAAAGCAATCCAAACATATATCAAGATCAATAAAATTCATATTCGGAAGAATCGCATTCTTTACTAACTTTTCTAATCTTTTTTCTGATACATGACCCAAATGTTTATGTCACAAATAAGTCTAACTTTCATTTAGTGAACTCCGTCTAATTATTATGGAGTTTCAATCTATAAGAAACAATAAAAAAGAACACCAGAAATATAAAAATAGTATTTTTTATATAGATTGAAACATCCATGTCCAAACGTAAAATCAAATCCAGAAATATCAAGTCTTTAAAGGAAAATCAAATTTCTAGAAATTGAAGGAACATAAAGAGTCTGTAATAGATCAAGGTGATGTCTAATCTCCAAGATCAAATGATAAGTCCTTATGCCTTCAATTTTAGCCTTCATGCGATTTTCCATGAACAAGAAATATATATATATTTTTAATTTGAATTCGTAGTTTGGATCGTAATGAATCCCTGCAACATAGTGGCTACATGAGTAGTTGCACCAGAATCAAGCCACCAAGTATTATTAGGAACTTTAATTAAATTTGATTTGAAACATACAAAGGCACTAAATGTACCTTTCTTTTTAAATTAATTTTTTACATTTCAAGCAATCTTTCTGAGAGTGTCCTTCCTTTTTATGGAAACGACACACATCCTCCTCGAGTTCCTTATGAGCATCCTGTGGAACTTTAGCAGGTGCTTTCTTTTTCTTAAACTTGTTAGCCTTCACTTTAAGTCCTTTACCAACTTCTTGGCCCATGAGGTTAATGGAATGACCTCATGTTTCATAAGTCTTGACTCATCTTAAGTAAGCATACTGGACAATTCACTAACATCCACTTATCTATAATAGTGTTATAGTTAATTTAAAATTGTCCATACTCAAGAGGCAATGGGTTCAGAATAAACTGAACCAAGAAGGTGTCATCCACTTTCATCCCCAAGGTCCAAAGTCTTGCTAAAATGCAAGTCATGTCAATGATATAATTTTGCATACTACACGACCCATCAAACTTCATGGTCATCAGTTCAGTCATTAGTATACCAACGAGAGACTTATCAGTAGAACGAAAACGTTCTTTCACAAACATCAGATATTTCCTGACACTTTCTGTTTGTGAAATAGAACTCTTAGTGTTGCTAGCGACATTCATTCGCATGAACATAAGGCTCAATATGTTAGAGTGTTTTCCATGATTGATGAAAAGATTTTCATCCTTATTGCTCTTATCAGTAATAACAGTAGGTTTTTCATTTAGCAAAGCCAAGTCAAGATCCATCACACCTAAGTGAAACTTGACTTGTTCATGACATTCAGAGAAGTTCAATCCATTGAACAAAGTAACAGACCAAGCATGTGAGTAAAAAGGAATAACTGCAAATAGATACATGTTCACATATAAAGAATAATGTGAATTGAGTAGAACGATAAAAGTACATCGTAATTCTCCTTTGGGTAGATACTACGACACACATTTAAATGCCATTTTTTAGAAAAACTTAATAGGAAATTAATAATTTCAACCAAACAGATACAACATCGTCGGATATACAATATATGTTTGATTGAAAAAATTAATTTACCTCATAATTTTTCACTATTTGTAAAATGACAAATTCACCTTTGGGTAAACTTTTTAAGTTCTAGCAATAGTGAAAGTTGATTTATCTATTTATTTTTCAATATAGGCAATTAATTAACTTTCATAGATAAATGACAATTTTATGAGTGCATATTTTTCTTAACCATACTAGTTTGACCACTTTGGTGACTAACAAGCTATATGAATACAAATGCATACATAATCTCATAAAATTTGTGCACGTGAATAATTTTAAACATTTTAGTTTGGCAACTTTGGTGACTATCAAACTATAGATTCATGATACATGCATCAAGTGATCATAAACATGATATGTATAGACGTTAATTTTCTCTAGTTTGGTCACTTTGGTGACTGACAAACTATATAAATAAAAGTACACATAACATCATAAAATTTTGTGCATGTGAATGATTTCAAACATTTTAGTTTGGCCACTTTGGTGACTAACAAACTATAGAAACATATTGCATGCATCAAATAATCATAAAAATGATATATGTAGACATTAATTTCTTTAGTTTGGCCACTTTGGTGACTAACAAACAAAATAAACATAATACACATATTATTTATTGTTTAGTGTAACGACCACTAGCACAATTTAAAATAAAACATAATTGTTACATTATGGGATTGCAAACATCAATTCTAAACTTTTTACGAGTGATGATAACAAAACATTACTTGTTTAACCATTGACCCCTTGCTCTTAATAAATCATAAGATAACTTACAAAAATTTATAAGTAATGTCGCTTTAATATTTCAATATCCTCGTGTAAAAGTTTATTAGGACATTAATTATTGGCTAAGGTAAAAAATTTCTCAATTTTTAGTTGAACATTACTTTGCATCAACATATTGTATCGTAAACTCGAGTTTAAAATTACTATTAGTCTTCCAAATATTATCAGTAATGGCAAATAATTTTGAGACCATCCTCACTGAAAATTTTGGACCCTCATGCAATTTTCTTAAATATGCCTACTATATATACGAAGATTATCAATTCAAATAATCTAGGCTCTGATGCCACATGTAAGATTAAATATTTGAATACATTAGGAGCACATACATGATGAGGAAGACATCATCGCAAAGAAAAGTGGAAAAGTTAGTCATAAATTGGTTTTTACCTCCTTGCCCTAACTTTATTTTACCACGACTGTCAGCGATGGAATTAATGTAGAGAATATGTGGTTAACCCTAATAGGTGGAGGGAGGACCAATTTATAGAGGTTATGATTTAATATGGTACGTCCATCAAGTAACCAATGTACGGACATATCTATTCCTTATTAAATACTACCTATGGTATTAATTGCGTTACAAGTAAACTTGGGGTGTAAGTAAGAAATAATTAATAATAATTATAATAATAATTCTTACATATTGAACCTGAAAAAATCGAGGCGGACAGACATGTTTATGTGGGGATGTGTGTGTGCTCGTTAACTTCGGAAAAGAATCATGTGTACATATATATATAAAGAGAGAAACTCGAAGAAACTAAATGTAGTTAATAGTGCCCCATATAAAACATGAAATGATGCTTTGTACCGCATGTACAAACTGAAAGATCTGCCCATGCAACTAGTGTTCAATCTCAGGTAGAACCTCTTTCTTAGCTTAATATTAATGCATCCAGAAATGACAAAATGACCTCGTGGACCCTTGTACTTGTATCAGTTTATTGTGAACTATTCTAGTTGATTATTTGTCATCTGAACCCTTAAACTTAAAACAAATAAAAAATTTAAACCCCTTTGACCGTTGACCGGGCTTATGTGGCATTTATTTTGCTGAGTATGATATGGCGCGTGTTGTCACACAAGTAAAAGCAAGTGGAAGCAATGAATTTGCTTTAAAAACTATTAAATATTTTTTTTAAAAAAAGGTCCCGACCCCACCCTTTTCTTGAAAGCAAAGAACTAGATGCAAATTTTTAGAGGTCATCATAAAACTCATCAGCTTGTGCAGATAAAATTTAGGGTTCTTGCTCTTGAGGAGTTCACTTGAATATAATTTTTTTAGGGGAAGGAGGTGTTGAAGTTTTTTTCTTAATTTTTCTGCAAATTGATTCATGGATGAATATTACAATCCGCTTCCTGCAGATCTAATGATGGTTGCCATATCTTATTTGTTTTCCCTTCAAGTTACAAAAACTTGTTTGATTTCTCATTATCGTTGTTATCTTTCTATAGATCTAACAATGCGTTTGAGATTTGTTTTGACTATGCGACTTTTCTTTTTCTTTTTTCTTCAACGAAAACCCAAAAAATGACTCAATCTATTTTCACAAAGTTGTTCTACAACTGCTTAATTTCTTCTTATAAAGTGATGTCTCTATTTGGTGTAACAAATTGAAGAAGAAAAGAACAGGGGAGGGGATATGGAGATGTTGTTGATAATAATTGTGGGTTAGGAGAGGTGGAGCCGTGAGGGAATGGTGACGGAAATAATAACTTTATTTTATTTGGTAAAATAAAAAATTTAGTGATTTTATCTTTTGTTTATTATTTTTTATTAATTATTAAAAAAATATTTATGAAGATAATTATGATGTGTCATTAATATATATGACATGGATATGACATGTCATTTATATAATGGAGAATGAGCTACACAAATAGCTAGAGGGATTTAAAAATCTCATTTTAATTGAGTTTAAGAGTTTAGATGACAAAATGATAAGTAAAAAGGTTCACAATACAAACCGATACAAGTAGAAGGGTCTTCCAGATCCATTTAATTTCAAATACTTAGTTTACCTATTTATAATTAATATATGAAGTGGTGAAGTGGTAAACACTCTTTCAATATCCTTAACATGACATGCATAAATATTCCACAAGTGATGTTTGGAAAATTTGGGAAGGATGTTTTTAAAGACCCTCCAACTGAAATAAAGTAGTGAAAACAAACGATGTAAAATAGAACAACAACAACAACGACAAATAATAAGATAAATTTATCCACTATTGTCCTCTCTATCTACGTTTATTTGTCATGTTGCATTTTTCGAAAGTCAATTTGATTAATTTTTAAAGTTAAATTAAATTACATTATTAATAAAATATTTTAAATCAAAAAGTTCAATATTCAAAAACTATACGAAAAGTATTAAAAATTGCAGTTCTTTACATATCAATATGATAAAAAAAATATTGTAAAATAATTTGTTTAACGAAATTCTATTAAGAAATATTAATTTGACAATGATACATTTTTAGCATCGCACTAATAAAGGTTCATGAATAATTAACAAAAAAAATGTAGTTCAAATATTTTATATGATTAATTGATGACTAACTAAAGTTTCATCTAAAATAAACATAATTATACAGATATTTGTGAAAGACATATTATAACTAAGCGCTTTTCCGAAACAGAAGGGAGTGAAAATATATATCTCATATAAAATAGAATGGAAAGTAACATAATTAAGGGGACCTTTTGTACGTAGCAGAGGGGCTGCTTGCATTTTGAAGTTGATTAATACACACATTTATTACTTTATTTAATCATTGTTAGTAAATAGTCATCTCAACATTATTATTATTTTTGGAATTACAATCTTAATCTTAATATAGTATAAAGGAAAATCATAGACAAGGTGATTGTCACGACCCAAATCCGGTCGCGACTGGCACCCACACTTACCCTCCTGTGTGAGCGAACCAACCAAATCTAAACCTTAACATTTTAATGTACTATCAACATAAAGTAATGCGGAAGACTTAAACTCATTAATAAAAATCAATTCAATAACTATTATTTCCTAAA